TATATATTTAACCTAAGAGTAAAGGAAAGCAAAAACATGAAATACAATTTTGCATTAAAAAAAATAAATTAATACAGTGACTTTAAGAACCTTTCACCCCCAAATTCATATTACTGAAAAAACATCCCATTTAAACTAAATGTTTTTGTTATTAAACTCAGCATTAATTACATTCAGAAAATGTATACTCATTTGTACCCTAGAAATCTACTTAAATTTAATGAATTATTATTTAATTTTATTTTATTTATTCCATTACAGTAATGAGAATGAGGGTTTATGGCATTGCAGAAATGTGATTTGGGGAAAAATATGATGAATTGTCTTGAAAATCAAAATGCAAAAATTGCAGTGGTCAAAATAAGCTTCAGTATCTTTATATTATATGTAATTTAAAGGCACAATATGTAATTTTCGCCGCTAGAGGGCGCGTATTCAAAATAAACACGAGGCCAGTGGCAGAAAAAAAAAAAAATTCCCCTTTTTTTTTTTTTTTTTTTTTTTTTTTTTTTTTTCTTCTCTTCTTCTTCTTCTTCTACACACACAGCAGCTGTGTGAGTTTTCTTCAGGGCAGGCCACTCGATCAGTGTGAGTTTGTTTCCGGCTGTGGCTCTTATGTGTAATACGCTCAGCTGCAGTCAAGTTGAGCAGCTCATGTCTGCTGGAAACGACGAGTTTGGATTTACACACATTTCTGACCCACTTCATTTGAGTCTGTTGGGTTCTAACAAGAGAATAACGTGTATTTGGTGATGTAAATAAACTATTTTTGTGAAGCATCGTTTCTGGCAGAAGAAAAGTGTCTGGATGAAGAAGAGAGAGTTTATCAGCCATTAAACTGCAGGTTTCTGTAATGACTGGTTAATGTGTGTACAATGGAGACGAAGGTAAGGACTTATTTGTCGTATTTTTGGTTAAACGTTGTGTCTGATCTGTTTGTAATTTCTTTGCAGTGAGATCACACTGGGTTTGAACTGGCAAAGTATTCCCAAACACACGCCGATATATTTGCTCTTAAGTGTTTATAGCCGTCACATGCATCATAACCGACCTGTTTAACACTCCGAAATGGGTCTAATATGTCTCTTCTGTGTTATTTTAACTATGTTTAAGGCTTTTTAGTGAACGTAGGAAAATATGGATCATTAAGGGTCTTGTGACATTTTAGTGAGGGCATGACGTCATCTGCAATGCATACTGGGATATGTAGTAAAAATTTAAATGAATCATTCACCAAGTTTAGTTAATCATAGAACCAACACACGAACTAATTACCCGCGTAAGTGAGAGCTTAGGTCTCTTAATGTAAATTCTCCTTGGGATAATATGTTAAGTCTTATGGGACCCTTTAATGAGAGTCTGTCACATATCCATTTAGGTATACATATACTCAGATATTGCATAAAACGGATCATATTCCTGGTCAGTTATTGTACTTTTGATGCCTCAAAAGTGAAATAGGTTTGTGGTAATTTCAGCATTTCTTTTGTATATGTTTACCTATAAATGACCTCAAATAAATTTGCTTTCAATTACTTTTATGTCTGTATAAATACTATGCCTTAACCTTAAAAACAAACTCACTTTAACTGTCACATGCCTAATGACCATTATTTAAAAGACTACTCATTTCTGTAATTTTACATTCATTTGTTTATCATTAACAGGGCTAAACCGAAAATTCTATTTTTTCTGTCTGTAAAAGTACTATAAAATACCTTTAAAAACAATAGTATTTGTGTTCTCAAAGTGTGATTGTTATTTTAATTGTAAAACAATTTTTCCTGTTTATCTATGTGAAGCGGCTTTGACATAATCTGTATATGCAAGCACTAAACAAATAAAGGTGACTTGACTTGATTTAAAATTGCAATTGATCTTTATTTTTAAATTAGTAAACACTTTCAGTTTTAATATAGTCACCCTGCTTTAGACTTTAATTTAGTCCTGCTCCCTTGACTGTCTATATGAGGATGTTTGTAATGATGGAGGGTTTCATGAGCCCACTCCTGCTGCAAGACTGATTCACCAGCCCTGCCATTATGAAATTTTCTGTTATTTGATCGCTGTTCCTCATCTTATATCCTCCTTTTGTCTTGCATATCATAATTTGTATTTCATCATCACTTCGTTTTGTTTCTCTGGAAGACTTGTGTAAATGGTAATGCACATTTATGACATCAGACGGTTTTGTGGTGTATCCATCACTGTTTTTAAATTGCTGTATTTCATTTGGAGTTAATTCTCTCACACACAGACTTTCTATGTCTGAGCATCAAGGAGTCATGGCTTGTGAATTCCTACATAGAAAGAGCCTGTCTCACTGTTCATACAGACCTCACTGTTTGCCATTTCGATAGCTTCAGGATGTGTGTGTGTTTCTGTGTTCCCTCTATGTGTGTTAGAATAACGGGAGCTTTGTGGAAGGTGTTTTTTTTTTCTCAATGTACTGTGCAATTGAATCATGCTTTGTGACCATTTGCATGTTTTTCATCACAAAAATGTGCTCCGTATAGTTCCATTATAACTTAATTTTTTTATTTATATATATATATATATATTTCCATGTTTTCTACAAAACAAAACCGGAAATCGAGGGTGTATGACGTCATTGGCAGGCGACACAATGACACTATAGACACGGTCCGTGTCACTAGTTAAAAGCGCTTATTTCTCTGGATTTAAACTTTCTTCGAAACATTTGGGATAATGTAAGTACACAAGTCAGCAAAATATATAACACTGTTCTAGTGGTTTTTGGATATTTAAAAAAAAAAATCTTACATATTGTGCCTTTAATGTTTTTATGATTTTGTGCTAAAAAATAACCCAGAGACTTCAACAGTTGTGTGATTCACTAATTTGCAATGGTGACATTTGTTCATGAGAAAAGACATTAATTCATTGATTATAAACATGTAAAAGAAAAAAAGAAAATCCCTGAAATGGTGTTAGGTAAATGATAAATAGGTTAATGCTGAGGTCATGTGAATTTTATTTAATGGTGTCCAAAAAAAAAAAAACAGTCAAACAAGTGTAGCTGGTTCTGTTCTATTAATAATTAATGATTGCCTGACACATTTGGTGTCTTTCTATGCATGTGCTTTATTTAAAAGAACACTCCACTATTTTTGAAAATAGGCTCATTTTCCAACTCCCCTGGAGTTAAAAAGTTGATTTTTACCAACTCCCCTGGAGTTAAAAAGTTGAGTTTTACCATTTTTGAATCCATTCAGCCGATCTCCGGGTCTGGCGGTAGCACTTTTAGCTGTAGCTTAGCATAGATCATTGAATCTGATTAGACCGTTAGCATCTCGCTCAAAAATAACCAAAGAGTTTCTATATTTTTCCTATTTAAAACTTGACTCTTCTGTAGTTACATCGTCTACTAAGACCGACGGAAAATAATCAAGGAACTTTGCTGCCGTACCATGCGTAATATCATTGCGCCTGCTGCACCCATGGTACGGCAGCAAAGTTCCTTGATTATTACGCCGGAATGAGAGCATAGTTCCTAGCCATATCGGCCTAAAAAAAAAGGCAAATTTTCATTTTCCGTCGGTCTTAGTACATGATGTAACTACAAGAGTCAAATTTTAAATAGGAAAAATATAGAAACTCTTTGGTCATTTTTGAGCGAGATGCTAACGGTCTAATCAGATTCAATGATCTATGCTAAGCTACAGCTAAAAGTGCTACCGCCAGACCTGGAGATCGGCTGAATGGATTCGAAAACGGTAAAACTCAACTGTTTAACTCTAGGGGAGTTGGAAAATGAGCCTATTTTCAAAAATAGTGGAGTGGTCCTTTAAGCATGTTTGTTCTCCCCACAGGCACAGGTTTTATATGATTTCACAGCAGAGCCTGGAAATAATGAGTTGTCGGTTCGAGAGGGTGAGACAATCACAATAACCAATCAGGTGAGTTTATTTTACTTTCATAATGTTTTATAACACCCGACTCTCCATGTCTGCTCCGAGTTGTTGCATGTGTGTGGATGGATCAAAACCTTCTTTGTAAATGTGATCCATTCTTTTCTGTTCCCAGAACATTGGTGGAGGATGGATCGAGGCAAAGAACTCCAGAGGAGAAGTCGGATTGGTACCAGAGGACTATATAGAGGTATGGAGTGGTTACCAAAAATGGCTTTTACTGGCACAGAAGACTGGAGTAATTCAGCTTTGCATCACAGGAATAAATTACATTTTAAAATATATTCATATAGAAAAGTTATCTTAAATAGTAATAATTCACAATATTGCTGCTTTTGCTGTATTTTTTGATCAAATAAATGCAGCCTTTTTGAGCATAATAGACTTCTTTCAAAAAATAAATCTTACTGACGGTAATGGCTATAACAAGATTTACAACATACATATACAAACTCAGAAATATTTAAAACAGAAAATGTGCATACTGAAGTTCAGATAATATCTGTTTATCAACTAATAATTCAAAACATTAGCTGATTAATTACCTGGGTGTCTTTCACTATGATAAAGTATATAATACAGTTTTATTATGATTGTGTTGTAATACACATCTGGCAGTGTTTTGAAACCAAAAGGACAGAGAAACTATCGCTGCTGGAATGTGGCCTGTTCGATCAACAGGAAGTGTTTTCTTTTCCTGTGGCCAGCCAGATTTGAAGTGTGTTAGTGTTGTGTTCATTTTCAGGCTTAATGTACGGCTGAATGAATGTGCTCGCTTTATTTCATAATACTTGGTATGGAAAAATAGGATTTTCCTTGCTCTTTTAAAAATACAAGAGTTACACCAGTATTGTTTATGGACAGTTAAGCCAAAAAGCATTCAGAAATCTGAACGTCCAGTTGTTTATCAATAAATGTGCAGCAGTATCTTTGTGTTAAAGTGCATCATACTGTGTAGCTGAACATGATCACATTATACAGCCATCCTGAGGCAGTCGTGCACATGGAGACCTGGTAAACAGTTTACTCTCTGTATAAATAGTCTGTGGAGTGATTCCGCCTGCTGCTGGTCACAGATATACATTTCAGTTTCCCTCCTGACCCGAACTCACAGCTGCACTATCGTACAAACACACGTGCTTCCTTCATTTCTCTGTTCTCAGAGCCAAACAAATGACCACATGTTCACATTTCTCCAAATTCACATTCTTTGCGCACCCAAAGCTGTTTTTGTTGCGATGTTTAATGCTTGGATTTTGATGTTTTTCTTTTTTTTTAAATGGAAGTAAAAGCCATTTCTTAATTGTTTATGAATAAAAAGTAGGAAAAATAACTGAAAATAGGCCTTCGACTTGTCCAGACATTCATATAAAGTCATCTGGGGGCAATATTTTGTCAAATGAGTGCCTCAAAGTGAGCAAAATATCACACCATACTAAACTAAAACTTTAATCTCACATTTCGAGTTGACAGAAAGTCAATCAAGGCTTAAGTTTTTTGAAGACCAAAATGCATTGGCCTTTTAATGGATATATTTAATCCTCAGCCTCAGCACCAAATGTGTCTGGAAATGTCACTTTTCTTCACCTTCAGCAAGAGGAGGCTTTCAACTATTTGGACTTGAACAAGTTTGCCTATGCGTCTACCAATTTATATGATACCAGCAGCCATAATGCATGAGATATCATATTCCCAGATGTCAAGCAAATTTTAGGGGTCATAAGATATATAAAAATAAATAATTATTTTATAGTAAAGATGATAATTTAAGAAAGGAAACATTATTGTATTATACTAAAAACTATTATTATATGCTTATTATTATATGCTGTAAAATCTAAAATGTTTTACAAAACGTACATTTAGTCTCAAATAACACAAAGATCTGAGTTAGTGTACCAACACGCTTCTTTAATTCTGATTTGAAAAGGACTGACCCTTGTGAATTTGTCTCTTCATGTTCTTGTAGATTAAACAGGCTCAACCTTTTACCTCTGGAGGAAATGCAGCATCCCTCGATCTCTCGCTCTTCGACAGCCACATACCGGCCCCGGCCAGCACCGCACAGGTAAGCCATCGTGATTAAGATGTGTAAATTTCACATGGGAATCGTTCAGTCTGTTGACTAATGCGGCACATAAACCGATCGCTTTTATTTATCATGTCTGTTTAACCTGCTTTTCTGTTCATTCTCTGTGTAACGCTCCTTCTCAGTGCTTTTCTCCCACTGTTTAACTTCCGGAGAGGAAGTGAGCAGGAAGGGAGATTCCAGTTCCGAAGCATAAAACGTCTTACTCAGAATGTAAAAATGTGTGTGCAAGCAAATTCTAAGACTGAGAATAAAACATCCTGTGTCGCTTATTCAGAGGATCAGCGAGGGGCCAAATGTGAAGGATGATGATTTTTAATTAACATACAGGATGAAGTGGTGGGATTCTCCCATATGGTAGTGAGGTACTGTGGGTTTGGCCTCCAGTGCTGAGACTGAAGTTTTCTTTGAGTGGGCTGCTTTGTTTTTTGGAGAAACCATGATTTGAAGGGTTCAGATGCAAAAGCCTCTAAGTGCCGTTTGAAATTTGCCTATGTTTATGATTGGTTATTTCACTTAAATGGCAATGAAAAGAACATATTCATTGCTGTTAAAATTAAATGACTGAACCTACACATAGGAGCCTGATTAATATGCTCATTTTAGAAGAAAATTTCAAACGGAATTTAGAGGCTTTTGCATCTGAACTCTTCATTTGTTTCCAGTGGCCCTGCCATTGGCTTTAGTTTTGAATAGATTTTAGCAGTATTAAAGACAACATGAAACCACTTTCATTTGACTTCCATTAAGTGACACATTACAGAACATTCAGCAGGAGCTAATATTAGGGTGAAACATATTATAATTAGTGGTGTCAAAATTAGCGCGTTAATGCAGGCGATTAATTTTATCAGTTTAACGCGTTAAATATATTTAACCAATTAACGCAGGGGCGGGGCTAGGGTTGGCCACCCCACTCACAACTGCTGCTTCTGTCACTTTTTCTCTTGACAAGAAGTGCATTTACTCAGTCGCAGAACGACTGAGAACGGGAGATGTTTCAGACGCGCGCTCCACTTCACTTCAGCACCAGGCGCGAGTCAAGCGAGCGCGGAAACGGTACTGTGCTTGCAGCGCATGCTCTTCAATTGCATGCGCAAAAGGCACCGGCGCACGATGTAGCCTGTATCCTTTCATATCAAAGCGCAAAATAAACTACGTGCATGCAATGTCGTGGTCAGTTAAGTCATAAAGTTGCCAAAAAGGCGATTAAAGCTGCCTTAAAACCGTGCATGCATGTAATATATTTTATATGAGTCACATTTAAGATGTCTCTGAAATGGTTTTCAAAACCGTCCCGGAGCAGCCTAGCACTGTCTCCCTCATTTAACACACCCGATTGAACTCGTCAGCTCATTAATAGAGACTTTAAGACCTGAAGTGGGTTAGAAAAGGTAAAAAGAGTTGAGAGAAAATATGATGCGTGTCAGATCCGCATCTATATTTAATTTAGAATTTAGTGTTTGATAACTTCAATTTCTGTATATTTCTGCTGAAGGGCACAGGTAAATATGACATTTATTATAATGGGTTTATGTGAAGATTGTTTTAAGTTCACTTAAATTAGAAGTTATTTTTTAAAGTCTCATAAATGTTAAAATTGATAGCTCTCAATTATACTGTAATGTTGAATGACTATAGTCAATGGTTAAATATGGGGGGGGGGCAATTTTATAGAGAAATCAGTATTGGTATAATTGATACTGGCCTTCAGTCATAAAAAAAGATGCCATTAAACAACTATAAAAAAAAATCTTGTCTTTATGTTGTTTGTGGATTAATTTGAAGATTGAATGTGAAATTCTTGTAATATAAAAGTATATTTAAAAACTTTAATGTTAGGCGGGATTAATCACGATTAATTTCAGAAAAATGTGCGATTAATTAGTTACATTTTTTTAATCGATTGACAGCACTAATTATAATGTTGGAATACTCAGGACATGTTGTTGGGCTGGACAATTAATCGAAAAGTAATCGAAACAGAAATTCAGAACCTCTAACCGACGTGATTTTCCCACGTCGGTTATATCAGTTTTTCAATCCTTTCCCCAGGGTTGCCAGGTCCAAGCCCGATTGCTATTCAAAACTAGCCCAATCATGTTTTTTCTCTGAGTTTCCCTCTTCGTCGGGTGTCCCCTCCATCAAAATCACCCTAAGGGCGAGTGCTTTAATTAAAAAAACAGACTAAAAAAACAACCTGCGGCAGCAACCTGAAGCAACATAAACCTTGAACGCCGAGTCATCTGAGCAACCAGAGCAGTGTAAAAATATGCTTTTTAAATTTTTTTAAATGTGAAAATATCCTTTTTACGTTCAAACTGAAATGTGGGTTTTTTTTTTTATAAGACAGTTTAATTTCAAGAAATGTGTGCTTCAGTTGTTCGAAATATTCAATCAATAACCATAAATAGTTTGTTTCCTTCAATTATTTTAAAATCACAAAGATAAGAAATGCACTTTCATTAGAAAAAATATCCCACCTTTAATAGTTGAGCATATTTACAGTACAAACCTTGTCAATGAACTATGAGGGCAAATTAATAAATAAAATATTCGTTCATTAATTGTGCGCAAGGTAAAATGTTCAGTTAATAGAGATTTTGATTTTAGGCCATATTGTCCAGCCCTAACATGTTGTTAAGTTGTTAACTAAAAGAAATTATGAAATTATTTTAATTATGAATCATGCTTATAAGAAACAATTACATTTATTAAGACCATAAATAGGATCAATGTTGAGTTCATGTTGTCTTCAAGTTCATCAGAACTGATCATGTAAAACCATCCCTGATGACAAGCAGTTGTTTATGGTGTCATCTCAAAGCCTGAAGCTGATTGGCTAGTCAAGGGACAGACTTCAACCTAGTCGCTGTAGTCTGCATGTGCTTGATGAATCACTGATAACAGATGTGAAACTAGCAGCAATACTAGATATTTATGAGTCATTGTAAAATGTGTGGCACAGTTAACCACAGACATCCCTGTAGGCACAAATATTAGTCAGCTCTCTCTAGAATTTTTTTATTAGTGGATCATCAAGTAGTGATATATAATATATTGCTGCAATTCAGATTTGCATGGACAAAACAGCTGAAAATCCACATTAAAGCTTGTCCTGGCAAAGAACTACCCATTTAGGTTGAAAGAGATGGGGGGGGTGACATGTAAACCGTTCCACCATAAATAGTTTTGTTTCTGTGCACTCCAAAAATAATTAGCCCTAAATTATGTTTTGAATTTGGATTATACTGTTTTAACATAAACTAATACATTTAATATGATGTATATTTAATCACACAGAAAGAAAACAGACAAGAAACAGTCTGCACCTAAAAAAAAAAGATTGACAGTTTATTATCAACAATTTCCATTTTTTATTTTAGTAAAATAATCATATTTTTAAAATGCATTTATGCTTAAATATTGTGAAAACAATTAAATTTATTTAGTTGAAAGTGTGAACATGGTTAAAATATGGCTAGCTATGGAACAAGCATTATACTGTTGGTTAAAATTAATTCATTTGATTAATTGGCCCGGCGGATCCGACGAATGAGCGGCAACCACATGTGATGGACATGTGGTTGGATTCCGCTTCGTCCACGGTGAAAGTTATTGTATTTCCTCAGCGACCAGCACGGATCAGCTCCAGGCATGACGAAGCGGATATCGTCCTCTTTTGGAAGACCAAACAAAGTAGTTTCGCTTTCACAACGAAGCACACAGCGTCTTCATGACATGGCGGCAGCGGCAACAATACTACAGTGAGAATAAAAGTTACGCCTTCTTTCTTTGCATGAACATTTGGGCGGCGTTATGCAAATCTTCCCACATAGTGATGTAGATATGTGGGGGCGTGTTAGAACGAGCCATTTTAGGTAGGTGTGGCTGACTCTGAACTTTTATAAAGAATATCTCTTTGGATTTGAGACTTTAGTCTTTGCAACTTTACAGATCTTCTTTATGCACCAAGAGCTTGTAACACTCCAAAGAGAAAGGAAAAATTGAAATCGCATCATATGACCCCTTTAAGACTGCTAAGTAATTGCTCAAGTTTCTTTTGATGATACAAGCATTTTTCTGAAATGCATCAGAAATGAAGTAGACACTGATGGTGAAGTTGCATGACTGTGTATTAGCACAGCTGCTTTAAAACTATTTGTTTGATGAATAATGTTTTGTGCTAGTTTTCGAACTGTGTGTATTGTAAACCCTTGCAGGTCTCAGCTGGGCCTCCGCTATTTAAAAAAATCAGTGGTTTGATGAAGAAGATCTGGTCTTTAGGGTCATGTCAGGGTAACCCTTCCCTTTCAGCGCTTTATGATGATGTCACGTCTTTCCCCTAAGGTGGCTGTAGCTCAGCCGGAAACCCCAGTCACCCCGGTTACCCCAGGATTTTCCTCCACCTCCCCTAATGAGGTACCCTAAATGCATTTGGCATGACGGACGCCACGCATGCTCGATTCTGGAGCCCTCACTAACAAGACCAAAAGCTAAACACCCTGTTCTCGGGGTCTGAATGCTTTCAGATTGAATCAGACCCCACTGATCACACCAGACAACTACAAATCACACATCGATCAAACTGATCAGCACTGTTTCAGCGAAATGGCTACATCACTGTCTGTCTGCCAGCTTTTAAAACATAAATGCGATGATTCAATCATCTACTGGATAGCCCCTTCTGATTTAGGTTGCAGAATTGGCTTTTTTTGTTACAGAAATATTTGTCATTCTTTTCTATTTATGTCACAGTTTTGTTTTTCATGTGTTTATTGTTGAACTGAAAGCTGGTCTGGTATTAAGATTTTTAAATTCAGACTGCGTTTTTAGCTACCTGCAAACTGATGAACTGAGAAAAAGCAGAAATGTTTAAAACATTTTCTAAAGAAAAATTAGCTCTTTATTGAATTGTTAAATGTAAGTCAAATAAGTGGAGTCTGAATCTGTATCGGCCAGAAATTTCCAAAACATTGCCTTCCAATTTCCAAACACACATGAATCCACATAAACACACTTTCTAAAACCAGTCTTTCGCCCCATGGTGCTACATTCTTAATGCATGACATGCAGTTTTTGCATGAGCAAATAAGAAAGTAGGCAACCAAACAGATAGTGTTTGACTCTGATGCATGTCTTTTGTCAACTGCAGTAAAATAACAGAATAATACTTGCCGCTATCATTTAACATGCATCTGCTAGAAATTACATGCCGTGCTCGGAGCAATAGGTCAAAGTTTTTCAGGTGTGATATTGATAATGACTAGATGATAACATGAATGAGGCTTGGATGATGGGTGTATTGTGGTGGCCAGATGATGATCCGGAAACACAGAGCTTATGGTTTGTGTCTCTGTGGCTCTGGGCTTTTGTGTCATCAAGGCTAGAGGTCCATTGAGAGTCAATTGTTCAGTGTTGACAAGCTGAAGCATGCATCAGGAAGGTAAACATCTCTTTCCTTTCAACATGTCCATCTATATAGGTATATTCCCATTTCATGGGCTTTCTTTAGAAGTCCTTGAATCGGTTGACATCTGAAAATAGCTGCTTAAATGGAGTCTTTAACGATAATATAATAACAACCAAAGGTTATTATTAGAGTGCTTGTCGGATGTGAGTGGGCTTTTTGTATCAGTTTTTTGAGAGTTTCACAGTTAAAAGACCTTTTCGCTGGTCGCCAGGAAACGTTCAAAATCACATCTGTGTACTTGTGTTATAGAAGATTGAGCGTGTGTAATCATAATACATTCAATCTACAGGACAAAAGAACACGCGACTGACCTCAACCAGCTGAACATGAATTAAATGATCTTAAATTATGTTCAAGACAGACTTATGCAATGCTGTGGAGAAGGTTTTAGGACTCAAGTGTGTTTTGAGCCTTTTAAAATGATATCAAATGCATTGCTTGGTCTCAGACCACTAGTGAAATGCTCCTTTTTAATGCTTTTTGTTTCTTACCAATTGTAAAATTGTTGTTCTTTTTCCTTCTTTCAGACAAGTAATGGTAATGACCCATGGGCAGTGTTTGACAGTAATGCGTCTGGGGGTTTTTCTAATAACTGGGCAGCTCAGCCAGAGGGCACAGAGACCGGGGAAACCAGCAGCAGTGCATGGCATTCTGGAGGACACGGGCATCCGCAGGCCTACCAGGGTCCAGGTAACAACTCAAATAAACCCATGTTGGATTATTCAGACTAGACCAGTGGTTCTCAAACTTCTTGCCTTCAAAGGCATGCCGTTGTCCACAACAAAACTGTCCCTGGTTTTTTTTTTTTGTATGTGTTTTAATCTGTAGGACCTCATAGTTTTTGTACATTGAATTAAAATTAAAATAATTAAATTTCAGAAGCTCAACATAAGCTCTAACAATGTATATTAATTATATAAATGCCCATGGTGTTTAAAGATTTTATTAATTTTCCATATCTAAAATCACACTTTTAAAATAAGGCCTCATATATCCAAGACTTTGAATCCTGTTTCTTCAAAGGGAAAAAAAAAACAGTTGTTGAGGGGATGAAATAAAATAAGAAATATTTTATTTTAGTTGTAAATTTTTGTACTTTTTTTGGCCTAATGATTCATTATCAAACAAGTCTGAATCAATTTGATTTTTAAAAGTCCTTATTCAGTAATTGCCAATGAATAGAGAGGTCTTAGAAAAATGCATTGGTCAAAAAGTGTGGGAACCCTGGATGTTATATAGTGTAAGTAATATTTTGCAGTAATTTCATTGTTAAATGTCTTTCAATGCAATTTGTCTTGTTCCTTTGTCTTAAATGGAAAACTGAACACCACAGCCACAAGGCAAAAATACTTATCATAATGTTTATTCCTCACTAGGAGCTATTACATTCCTATTTTAAGAGTTTCGGTCCAGCATATTTAGAAAACAAGAAGCCTCTGCAGTTTGTGAGGAGCCAAAGTGCTGCTTATTGTTACATGGATGTTCTTGGCAAATGTTTTATTACCAAAACAAATTACAAGAGAGTAAGAATGCATTCATAGTGGAAAACTAGCATACTGTGCAGTATATTTCCTAGTATTTTTTCCTAGTTGCACAGATGAACTTTTTTTTTTTTTTTTAACTCTTGGCAGTCAGATCTTATAAAAGGCATGTAAGATGCAGCTGATATTACTTTCATTAGTGACACCAAAAATTTAAAGGCAGGTGGAATTCGTAGTATTTTGTATACATTGTTGTATATGAAAGTATGAAAAAATATGAAAGTTGTTTTACGAGAAGTTGTGGAATATGTGGGCGTTGTTCAGTGATCTCATTTGTTACTTTGAGTCATGTGTTAGACTAAAGTGCGCCAGCAATGATGTCATCTTTGGAAGATCGTCAGTTTTGGTTTGTTTTGGAGTCATAAGGAGCTGAAATTCACCATTTCCATGTGCGGAAAAAAAAACAGCTTCTGCAAATCTGTGTCCTATAAAGACAAGCAGAGCATGTGGATTTGTTTTAGAGATGTTTTCCCCTGAAACCAAATTTATTCCCACAAGCAAGATGACTCTTTCACTTACTCAGTTACTCAACTAATAATGTTCTGGGAATTAAATATAGTTAGATTTTTCCACTGAGTGCTTGTGCAATCAGTTTAACAGTTTGAAATGGAAGTGCATAATGCACATGAGAGAATGTGTAGAGGTGATATTTATTGGCAAAAAGAAACTTATCGTAACAAACAATCTTTTCCTTTTCTCTGAAGACATTTACCCCTACCCATGTCTTATTGATCTCTCAGGTAAACCATGATGTTCATGTGAGGGTTTGGTTTTAATAACAAGCTGCATGAGCTCAACAGGTACCAGAAACTCACAAGAATGTGTGTGAGAGTGTTTTGTAGGGATTTTCTTGCTGTGAATTTTGTTGTTTATGTAACACAGCCTCAGTTTATGAGCATTTCTTCTAGTGCGGGGGCTTTTATGTCCCAGGGGTTTTATTAAAACTAACATATTTAAGTGTGTGTGTGTGTGTGTGTCTGTGTTTTTTTATTTTTTGTTAAATGGTCATATAAAAATGACTTTTTAGCATTCCTTCATTTATTTTTAATACTTTTTAAATATATTTGTATATATATATTATTGTTTCACCCAGACTTTCAAGATTGTAATAGTTGCAATTTGTGCAAAAAAAAAAAAAGCATTTCTTCTAGTGCGGGGGCTTTTATGTCCCAGGGGTTTTATTAAAACTAACATATTTAAGTGTGTGTGTGTGTGTGTGTGTGTCTGTGTTTTTTTATTTTTTGTTAAATGGTCATATAAAAATTACTTTTTAGCATTCCTTCATTTATTTTTAATACTTTTTAAATATATTTGTATATATATATATTATTGTTTCACCCAGACTTTCAAGATTGTAATAGTTGCAATTTGTGCAACAAAAAAAAAATCAGTTTTTGCACAAATTACAACTGTTATAACCTAAGATTCATCAGAGATTAGTTAGCATGGCTGATTTGTCCTGAGTGTGTTTGGATAACTAACACCTGGTTCTTACCATGGTTTTTATTTTGAAGTATGTTTGAAGTGTGTGTAATGACTGTTTATAGGTGCAGAAGACGATGAGTGGGACGAGGAGTGGGATGACGTGAAGACATCGGGTGGCTATGCTGAATCTGAGGCTGGAGAGGGCGGGGCTATAAACAGAGGCGGAGCTCATGGTTCATCCATGAAAATTGCCCTCAACAAGTAAGTCAGATCACACCACACAGATTGGAAACACATCCAAGAGTTAAGTAATAATACACTTAATAAAAACGTAATCCAGTTCATGTGCTTACATGTGTGCTTTCTGGATTCCAATAATGGAATATATTAAAGGGGGTCTAATGCTATTTCATGCATTCAGAGTGTAAAGTACAGTCCTTCCGGGTTTGCATACGTTTCGGAATGTTTTTTTCAAGCATGGACCTTCATGACGCCATGAAGGGTGGAATTCCTTGTATGGGAACTTCTCCCGGAAGAGCGCGCGCACACACGTCAACCAGAGCGAGAGCAAGAGCAAGCCCATCAACATTGTCGGCAGCGCTGCACAGGACTTGCTCGAGAAGAATGTCTCTAACAAAGTGTGTTTTTGGTTGTAAGGGAATGATAACCTTGTTTAGCTTCCCAAATAACCCAACGTTACATGAACAGTGGATGCAGTTTGTTTTACCCGGACAGCAATGGAGATTCGCAAGTGTGTTAGTTTGTTTCCGTCATTCGGCCCATGGCACGCCTGTTTTCGGAGAGAATCATAAAGCTAAATCTTTCTTTTCAAAATATGATAAAACTACTCTTTGTAGATATGAAGGATGCAATACTACTCTGTAGGTACTCAAGATTAACATGAGATTGAGTGAAACTGTGTGTTAGGTCCCCTTTAATTTTATTATTTTTTATTATTTGATTATGTCCATTGTAAAAAGCATCTTCTCTTTGCAGATTCCCTGGCTTCACCAAATCAGGTCCTGAGCTGTACCTGCTGTCCAAACAGCCTGCCAAAGGAACCAGGTTGCCTGTTTACGTAAGCCACTCTTTAAAAAGGTCTTAAAATCTCAATTTGCCTTTCCACAAATTAAGGCCTTTAAAAAGGTCTTAAATCAGAGCAGAGAGTCTGAAATTCATAGTCATGGCATTAAATGTTGCATGCACTGCAAAAAATGAATATCTTTCGCAGTCATTTCCAATGCAAATATCTACACATCCTTAAAATACATTTACTTGAAATGCAAAAAAAATAAATAAATAGTTGAAGACTTGTTTTCTGAGAAACTGAACACAATTAAGTGAGTTGATGCTTAGGAACAAACATCTGTCAATGAGGAATAATAGTGTGATTTCTGGTTTAAGCTGATATTTCTTAGTACATTGGCAGATATTTGTTCTCACTTCATTTTGATCGAGTTTTTCATAAAACAAGACGGCTTATGTAATGTATCTGTTGTATCGAGACTTTTCCACATACTAGAATGATATTCATGGCTCCATAAAGGGTTTTAATTGCTATATCATTTTATATGATGCGAGTGCGTATATATACTGTATTTCAGGGGGGAGAGGCTGGCCCAGTGTGGGCATATCCAGACTATCAGCTGGACTGTGTTGTCGCTGACCCTAAAAAGGGCACCAAAATGTACGGCCTCAAGAGTTACATTGAGTACCAAGTCACACCCACCGTAAGTACAGAAACCATCATGTCCACATATACATCTCCATGTTAGTGATTCCAGTTGATGTTGTTTCATGTGATCCAATGTTTCTGCAGACCACAAACAAGCCTGTCAATCACAGATACAAGCACTTCGATTGGTTGTATGAAAGGCTTTTGGATAAATATGGTTCAGCGATTCCAATCCCCTGCCTGCCTGATAAACAGGTGACAGGTGAGCCCTTTTTATTACATACTGTTTCGTGTAAAGAAGTTTAAAATGGAAATTCATTAATACCCCCCTTTTAGGTCGATTTGAGGAGGAATTTATAAAAATGCGCATGGAGAGGCTTCAAGGTTGGATGACGCGAATGTGCCGGCATCCGGTTGTCTCCAGCAGTGAAGTCTTCCAGCTGTTTCTCTCCTACAAAGATGAGAAGGTAAATAGTGTTTTTAGCGCTAAATAAATATATAGCTGTTGATTAATCCGTTTTTCTTTGTCCCTTTTCTATCCTCCACCTAAATATTCAGCGAATTACTGCAGATTTTGAGACATGGCCTTTGTTTTTGTTACAGCATTTTATTCTAAGTCTGTATTACAGGACTGGAAAATGGGAAAGAGAAAAGCAGAAAAAGACGAGACAGTCGAAGTCATGATTTTCTCCACGATAGAGCCTGAGGGACTGCCAGACCTGGACCTGATTGAAGTGTAAGTCCTACAGCCCACCTCAGGATCACTACCCTGATGGAAAATCTAGCTGTTAATAAGTTCATCCGTGTTGTCTTGTTACCTTCAGAGAGCAGAAGTGTGAGCAGTTCAACCGTTTCACCAGGGCGATGGATGACGGTGTGAAAGACTTGCTGACAATAGGAAATGAACACTGGAAACGCTGCACAGGCCGTGAGTATGACTTATGACACTCCATAAGCCTACATGTGAATGTATTTATATAGAAAATTGTGTGCGTGTATATATTTTTGAAAGAAAATAATAATAATATATTCAGCAAGCATGGCCGTACCCAGGCTTTGAAAATTAGTGAGGTCCGGGGGTGGGGGGGATGATGGGGGTTGGTGTTAAAGAATTGTTATAATAACCCCTACAAATAATACAACTCATTATAAGACTTCTTCATGGCTAGTTTTTGCGTATTTCATTTCATTCTGTAAACTACTTGTTCTACAAATCTGTGTGCACACTAGTGTTAAATGCTACTGTGTTTGACAGCGTTGATCACGTTTATGACAGATAATATTATGATAATTTTTGCGTTTCCCTTACCGAATGTCGTATCCTGTCAGCAAAAACCTGTTCATGGGCTTTTTTGATTGCTTTCAGTTTAAGTGCCGGCGATACAGTGTTGCCAGATATTGATACTAAAGCAAACTAAAAATAAATAAAAATAAACCAAAATTATTTACAATCTTTTGCAAATAAGATAAGATAAAGATATCGCTGACTCTATAAACTACAACTTCCTTCTTTATTAACTTTCTAAAGTGTTAAATTAAGTGGAAAAGACAAGTCTAAAAACGCTTATAATAGCTGGATCTGGCACAAGCCTGCGCCCCACACTCACAGCTCTCTCAAGCCTCGTTGGTTCACTCCACCAGCGTCTCGCAGTAATCACTTTTATAACAGGGACGCTAAACATTCTTGCAAACTGTCTAAACTGAATTATACATGTCATGCAGGCATTCATATGAGGAGTTTAACAGCAAATTAGTCATTCAAATAATAAATGTTATTTTTGAACATGACTAATTTAGCGAGGTCCGGATGGCCTCATAGCTGGTTAGGGGCCTGTCAGCAAGGAAGCATTAAATGAATCAATAAAGGTTTACGTTGTTACAAAACATGTTCAATTCATTGTTGTTCTTTTGATCTTTCTACTCGACCAAATCAGCGTATTAGAATGATTTCTAAAGAATCATGTGACACTGAAGACTGGAGTAAAAATTCAGCTTTACATCACAGATATAAATTACATTTTCCAAAACATTAAAAAAGAAAATTGTAATAATATTTCTGTACTGTCTTTTAAATGTATATAATTTTGAGCAAAATGTGCCTATTTCTGATATTTTTGTACTTCAGAAACAGGGGCTCATATTTCACTGTCCAACTTTGAAAAACAAAGTTCAGCTAGAGTGCATTGTGATTTTTATATTAAAAAAAATCTCAAGCTGATTAGTCTTATTTCCTGTTTACTTTTCTCAGCCCTTCCAAAGGAATATCAACGGATTGGCAAAGCTTTCCAAAACCTGTCCTCAGTGTTCAACAGCAGTGGATATGAAGGTATCAGAAACTAAAGAAAATTCATGGTTCAAAAATTGTTCTCTTTTTACCATCTGGTCTAGTTCTGAGAAACTGTGTTGACCAGCAGTCTTTGCATTATATGTTCAGCCATTAGTATTTTTGTTATTCTTAATGTGTGGTTTGACTCAAAGGAGAGGCTACGCTCACAGATGCGCTGACGGCTGCAGGAAAGACCTATGAGGACATCGCTCAGATGGTGGCGGAGCAGGTATTAAAAAAAAACCTTAGATAAAACGTCTCAGTTCTCTCTTATATTAGGAAGTTATGTCTCGTACAGCCTCTTGCATTATAGGAGAAGTGTAACTATTTGTGCATCAAAACATCCTTATATTATAAGTTGAGTGTCAAAATGCTTTTGAAAGAAGTCTTATATGCTCATTAGGTGTGCATTTATTTGATAAAAAATGAAATATTACAATTTAAAAGAACTGTTTTCTTATTTTAAGGGGAGACACTGCAGGCAAAAGCACTGTTTTTTCATGCACCTGTCAATTTTGAGATTTTGGGCTTTTTGGGTTTTCATAGTGTTTTTTCAGACTAGTGGAAAGAAAACATCCAAAAAGACACTGTTAAGCGTTTCTTTTATTGCACTTTATCTATTTGTGTCAATAGATTTCAATTACAATACATATTTTTAAAGGCCGTTTTCTCAAAATGAGTTTTTCTCCTACACTGAGCCATAAATCTAAAATCTACATTTTATTGCTGTCTATATTCTGAAGGGATTTGTTCATATATAATTTGCTTGATTATATACAAGATTGTATTGTATACAACATTTTATTCCCCCCAAAATTTTGAAAATATATTGTTTTCTGGCTGTTCAAAGATTTTTTTGAATTATGGAGTGACAAAAAGAGATACCCAAAATTCCCTCTGTAAAAACATTTGCCTCTATTATGTAAAAAAAATAAATAAACAAGAATTTTGAAACGGACTTCATCCAGTGTTCAGATAGCGCATATTTCATTAAAGGGGTCCTATTATGCTTTTTTAATTTTAGTCAGTGTGTAGTGTGTATGTTTGGGCATTAAAAAGATCTAGAAAGTTACAAATCTCAAAGTCCACTCAAATATTGTAAAAGAGCATAATAGGACCCCTTTAAATAATGCCTAATTTGCATATTTAAACATAACATTTGACAAAACTTGCAATACAAAAAATGTTTGCAATTATCAATGTAATCAATTAACTGTGTAAGTAAGGTGATAATTAGTAGTTAATTTGAACCTATTCACCTGCAGTGTCTGGTTTTAAAAATTTAATTTACTTAAATTGAATTACAACTGATTTTCAGCCATTACTCCAGTGTTCAGTGTCACACGATCCTTCAGAAATCATTCTGTTCAAGAAACATTTCTTATCAAAACTGTAATTCACTTTCATATTTTTGTGGAAACGGCGATACATTTTTCCCCAGGATTCTCTGATGAATATAAAGTAAAAAAAAAAAAAAAAAGAACAATTTACTTAAAATAGAAACCTTTTATAACATTAGCAATGTCTTTTTTTGTCAATGATCAAAAGCATTTCTTTACAAAAAATCGTATTAATCCAAAACTTTTGAATAGTAATGCATGTAAGGTTATTATCAGAAAATAATCAGGATCAGGACCCTGAGAGCAGCTGTGTAGGTGGAAGGAAGCCATAGTTATGTGATCCACATTCATTTAGCCTTGTGTTATTTATCTTCGACCTTACCACTGAAACATACAGTGAATGAAAACTTGCTTGTTGTTTGGCCTCCAAACTGTGTCTGGTAAGTGGCTCTGTGTCACCAGTGTAGCCTTGAATATTTGTAGAGCTCTGTTAACCCTTCATGTGATCGAGCACTGAAATGGAAATTGTCTTTAAAGATATCAAAATCAAAAATGCAAAAGATAGACACTACCCGTAGCGTTTTACTGTTTACACCCTTAAATGCTGACTGTATATGATTGGATCACATCAAGTGTAAACAGAGTCAAACTGAAGTTATTTTGTTGGTTTACATTAATCTCTTTTAATTACGTTTAATTCAAATTTAAAAAAACTAAAATAGTTATGAACACTCTTTTGCTGTTGTCCAATCGGATTAGAGGACTGGAACTGAATCGCCTGTTGTTTAATGATTAATTGAGTCTAGTTGTAAGGGAATGCGTTGTTTTCCAGCCGTTAATGGCTGTTTTAGTCCAGTTGAGCTCTGATTCTTGTCTGCAAGTGATAGTGTTTCTGTGCGTCTGCATGCATATGTGTGCGAGTGACGCAAACGTTTCGTGAGCGGTTGAATGAAGTGACCCTGGGTGTGTTTGTGCACCATCTGATGTAATCATTCAGTTTTGTCTGTCTTTCTATCTCTAGCCAAAGAAAGACCTTCACTTCCTCATGGAAACTAACAATGAGTACAAAGGTCTGCTGGGATGCTTTCCTGACACTATTGGAGTTCACAAGGTAAACCAGAAAGGGTGACTACTCAGACTAGCAGTCCTTATAGACTCAAACTCTGAGCAATTGAATCGACCTCATAAGTGAACTTTTTGTGAAGTGACATGTGGTGTCACTATGGTGATACCATACTTGGAATTAGTGCTCTGCATTTATCCCATCCAGAGTGCACACACACAGCAGTGAACACACACACCGTGAACACACACCCGGAGCAGTGTGCAGCCATTTATGCTGCAGCGCCCAGGGAGCAGTTGGGGGTTCGGTGCCTTGCTCAAGGGCACCTCAGTCGTGGTATTGAAGGTGGGAGAGAGCGCTGTACATTCACTCCCCCCACCTACAATCCCTGCCGGTACGACTCTCTAACCATTAGGCCACAACTTCCCCTTAAGCAGCTCACTAGGTGTTTAAACAGAGCCGTAGTTTCAATACAAAGATTTGAAAATTGGAGAATTGATTGGCTGACTGTATTTTGAGCCCTCTTTCTTTCGCACAGGCTGCCATAGAGAAAGTGAAGGAAGCGGATAAACTAGTGGCCACCGGTAAAATCACCACCTCAGAGAAGATCACCATGTCTAAACGTGCCAGCACCATGTCATACGCTCTGCAAGGTGTGTGACCCCAAAACCACCTTTAAAATGATTACATTACTGAAGAAGTCATAATCACACTGTCGTACATTGTTAACAACATTAGAATGCTGAAACATAACTATCATTTTCAATAGACACAAACAGAGTTTAAGTACAGGGTTCCCACAGGGCTGGAAACCTGGAAATATCAGTGACTTTGGAAAAGCCATGGAATTTTTTTAGTCAATAATCATTATCTATGCAAATAATTTTTTTTAACTTGAAATCTATAAAGAGGTTTTTCTTGTACTGCTGTTACTGTATTTTATTTTGTTGTATTTTATTATACTGCACATGACTTTATAAAATAAAATGACATTATACTGTATAATAATGTTTTATTACTATATATATATATATATATTTTTAGTCAATAATCATTATCTATGCAAATAATTTTTTTTAACTTGAAATCTATAAAGAGGTTTTTCTTGTACTGCTGTTACTGTATTTTATTTTGTTGTATTTTATTATACTGCACATGACTTTATAAAATAAAATGACATTATACTGTATAATAATGTTTTATATCTATATATATATATATATACAGTGCTGTTCAAAAGCTTGGGATCAGTAAGATTTTTTATGTTTTTTTTATCTCTTAAGCTCAAATAATGCTTGAAAATACAGAAAAAACAGTCAAATTGTGAAATATTATTGCAATTTCTAATATTGGTTTCGTATTTTAATATACATTAAAATATAATTTATTTCTGTATAATTCATTTTTTGTATCACAGGTTCCAAAAAATATTAAGCAGCTGTTTCCATCATTGATAATAAATCAGCATATTAGAATGATTTCTGAAAGATCATGTGACACTGAAGACTGGAGTAATGATGCTGAAAATACAGCTCTGCATCACAGGAATAAATTAGATTTTAAAGTATATTAAAATAGAAAACTGTGATTTTAAATTGCAATATTTCACAAAAATCGGGGTTTTTTTCTGTATTTTTGATCAAATAAATGCAGCCTTGAGGAGCATATGAAACTTTTTTTTTTTTTTAAAGCATTAAAGATCTTACTGATCCCAAAATTTTGAAAGGCACATAATATATATAGTAATAAAATACAGTATAATAAATCCTGCAAGATTATTTTTAAATTCTCAAATGTTTTTTAAGTTCTGTTGTAATTTGTCAATCACTTGAGAGATTAAAATTTTCTGCTTATAATAATTTAACTGAAAAAAGAAAAATCCTGTAAATTGATCAAGTGATGAATTTGACACATTCTGTCCTCTATGCAGCGGAGATGAACCACTTCCATAGCAACCGTATCTATGACTACAACAGGGTGATGCAGCAGTACCTGGAGCAGCAAGGCAAATTCTATGAGATGGTAAAATGTGGAAACAACAGTAAAAGTTCAAGAGCATTCCATAATGTTGGGAGATGTTAAAGCATTGAATTGGTTTTTATGTTTTGGCAGATTGCGGAGAAACTACGACACGCTCACAGTCAGTTCACTACTATGTAACGGCGAAGCAGCCGTCCGGAAGCTGCCTCACTCGTTCTCTCTGTTCCTCTTACGATTATGATTATTCTCGTTCTGTGTTTCTATTCATGTTATCTGTGTCATGATGTCAGTGCCATAAAAATATCCTGTTGATCTCAGGCCAAAGAAAGCATCGATCGGTGGCCAAAAGCAGCTACAGATTGTGACTAAAAATATCAGATTATATGGGGCTTTACTTATAAGTATGTAGTTGTTGATTTAGATGTTCCAGGTTCTGTTATGACCTCCATAGATTTGATTTATGATAAATATGAAAGATGCAGAGAGAGACGTAACTTTACGTACTTTTATACAAGTGATCTAAACTTATTCTGAGGCACATATGAGGCCAAGCCAAGTTTGATTGTGCCTTGTTTTGTAGAGACCCTGCAAAAAAAACATGCTTTTTATCCACTGCACTTTACTGTGGCCTTTCAGATGCGTCATCCTGTTTGTGTTTGGTCACGGCCAAAAACAAGCCCCATCATTTTCTTTGGAGGCTTCTGGAGATGATAACAGGAGGGCTGGTCCTTTTTCTCCATAAGAGACATTTTGATGTTGTTTTTCTCTCTTCCCAAAGCCAAATTACAAACAGAGATCGTGCTCCGCTTGATGCTTCCACCTCAGTGCAATTATCACCAATATCTTAACCTGTAAAAATGAAATTATACTCCATCTGATGCATGTTGTTCATATATTTTTTGTGTATAGCAGTGTTCGCAAGTCTTTTGCACACAGATTGACTAAACCATTGAGATTATGATTTAATAAATACTGATTTGTATGCTATGCAGTGGATTTGTTTCTCTGTACGAGTGTCTGAAAATGAATGTAGTGTGAATAACTAGAAACTTGAGATGGAGGCTGTGACTCAAAACCTAGCATGCTGCCTACCTAGATGGTGACTCTGCTTAAGATGTCTGTTTTGTTAACAGCGAAATCGGCTCTCGAGGTTTAGAAATGGAGCCTGGTGAGTCAGCTGTGTGTTTATGGTGAATATGAATGAGGCGGTCTCAAAATATGTGTTTTATGTCTGAATGTGCTTTACACGCCAATAAGACCCATGTTTTGTGTGATTTTGTGGTTTATTCGTTTCATAATATAACAGAAATCGGTTACACTTTTTTTTTTTTAAGGTGTCTTTGTTACAGTGTAATTATACATTTCAGTATTGAGTAATATTAATGAACTACATGTACTTACTATAGGGTTAGGGTTTGGTTTAGGGTTTAGGGTTACTTGCATGTAATTATGCATCATTTATTGTTATTATAATAGTAAGGACATGTAACGTGTAACAAGGACACCTTAAAATAAAGTGTTACCCAGAAATCATTTGCAAGTAAGTGTGTAATAACACAGAAATAAGTACATATTTAAAATGACCAGTTCAACAAAGGTTGTAGCATTTCCTGTTTATTTCACTCACTTTTGGCATTTCATAAACTATAAATATTTTTGCTTTCAGTACAGTATTGTACATCATGAACCTACAAAATTATTACAGGCATATTTCACAAATGAAAACAATTTTATTGTGCTACAGTTTTTTTTGGCTTTTTTGTGAGGCTTACAGCCCCCTTAATTAGGGGGCTTTTTACCCCAAAATACTACCCTTTTACATATTTTTTTTTACCAGTTAACCACTTATTTAACCCTTACAACAACAAAAAAATCACTAAACTGAAGTCTTTTTTTCTCTCAAAGTTTTTGTGATAATGTCAGGGATTCTACATAATTATGCAATATTTCAAAGAAATATTTGTATATTTACAAATTTCTATTTAATACAATTATATAATACCATTGAAAAGTATGGGGTCAGTAAAATATTTTTTAAAGAAATTGCTGTTATTTTGTATGTACATGTTAATTTGATCAAAAGTGACCGTAAAGACACTTATAATACAAAAGATTATTTCAAATAAATGCCGCCCCCCCCCATTTCCATCCATTTAAAAGAATCCTGAAAAAAAAACAATTGTTTATACAAAAATATTAAGCAGCACAATAACATTGATAATAATAAGAAATGTTTCTTGAGCATCAAATCTGCATATAATAATAATTTCTGAAGGATCATGTGACTGAAGACTAGAGTAAAAGTGCTGAAAATTCAGCTTTGCGTCACAGGAATGAATTACATTTTAAAATTAATTCAAAGAGAAAATTGTTTATTATAAATTGTAATAATATTTCAGTTTTTACAGTATTTTGATCAAACAAATGCTACCTTAGTGAGCATAAGAGTCTTCTTTCAAAAAGAGTAAAATATCTTACCAACCCCAAATTTTGAATGTTGCTGTATATTTGATTAAATACAATAATATATCATTAATCATGTAATCATTCTATTGATCAGGAAATAGTGGCAAACAGGTGTTTAAGAAAGTGCTGTGGGATATTTGTTGCTATTTAGGGCTTTGGAGAAAAAAAAATCAATCATCTTTGGTCCCATTGTATGCTACAGAAACTAAATCTACTTTTAATACACATTTATAAAATGTCAACAAAATATTTAATTCTTAAAACCATGGTTATAGAAAATATAGGCATGTAACACACTTTAGACTCACTGAATGGCAAACACTGACTTTCAAGGATCTCAGCAGCAGTCCTTCTCTAGTCTGGTATAAACCTAAAAAATGGTTTCACAGCCTCCTTGAAAACATTCAGTCCATACACAGATTTTCCTCTGTTTCACCATGGAATAATCCATCCGTCCTGTGTTGCTGTGGCTATGAGAACTGTGATTGGCTGGTTGACGTACGGGCCCAAGCTCATCGGTTGGGCCTGATTCAGGGTGACAGATGCTGTTGGAAGGTTCTGGGTCGGATCATCATGCTGACCTTCCTCAGAGAGTAGTAATCTGAATCTTTCCAGGTGTACCACACGATACCATCTGGACCAAGAGGGTTCTTCCCCTTCAGCGAGTAGCGGCCGCTCTGTCCAACAGGATCACAGAACATCACTTAGACATCATCAGAGATCCTTTAGCTTCTGATTTGCACTTTTTAAGTCTATGCATTTATTCATAAAGAGAAAGACTTGGACACACCTTTTATCATCAGTATGTTTTTCTAAATTAAAATTCATTTTGTTAATTTTGTGTGGTTAAAATGTGTAGTTGATGTAATAGTCCTGAACTTGAATGACAAAATATTTGTCATATGCCATAATTGACATTTTTATGTAACTAGATAAATAATACAATGTAATATAACCAGCTTGCAAAAACCATTTTGTTGTTCAAGTAGCAAGAAATTCATATACATGAAATTATATTACAGAGAGGACTTTTGTAGACCTTCATAACTTTGTTAGGTCAGCATGTTTTAATGTTCAGGTCACTTGACCCTTTGAACTTTGAAAAATTAATTTAAAGAGTCATAACAACTGTTTTAAAAAGTAGTAAAAACTGAGGTTTTCAAAACACAAAAACAACAAGAATACATTTCCAATAACCTAAACCCAAAGCCATAAAAAAATTAGTACCTAAAATAAATGTTAACTGAAATAAAATAATTAAAAAATGAAATTTATTTTATTATATCTAGTTGTCGAGCCAACATTTCTCATTTTTGTTTAGGTTAATGAAGTACTAAAACAACTAAACCAATAAATAAAAAAAAACGAACAAAAACTATATATAGGCATATTTAAAAAAAAGTGAAAAACACAACAAAATTACAAAAACTAACTAAAATGAAAATGAAAACAGAAAATATAAAAATAAAGTCTAACTCAAAATATTGATAAAACTATAATAGTATATCAGTGATACTAAAATAACCCTGCCAAAAACTTAAATGTAACTACATTAAAAAAAAAAAAACTTTTTACAAACATGCTAAAATATTACACACTTGCAGGTAAAATGACAATTTATGAAATTTTATTTATATTTTTAAATGTAATATATATTTTATTTATATATGAAATTATTATTATTTTATATAATATTATTAAATTATTCTTCATTTAGCAGCATTTTTTATTATCTATTTCATTTTTTTTATTACATAGGCAAACCAGGGGTTCAGTGCCTAACTCAAAGACAACAGTAACAGCTCACGATTCACTCACTTCTGGGCCTTAAACCTGCAACCTTTGTGTCTATAACCAACAGGCCACATCATACCTTGTAGTAGATGCCATTGAGGTTTGCGTAGAAACACTGGTTGTACCACCAGCCAGCGTGGGAGATCTCGGCACAGATGTTGCCCGTGTCGGCTGTGCTGAAGCTCTGCTTGTCATGGTACCAGCTGAAGGAGTCCTCCACAGTCCCGCTGAAGCCCGACACACGCAGACGGTACTGAGTGCTCTCGTCCTCCACACTACAAACACACATCAAGTGTATGGAGTGTTCATCAAGTGTTTAAAGTGTTTTCAATTACAAGGCCAGCTGTTTAATCACTATTAAACATTGTGCATCCGTTTGAAGTCCTTCCAGTCAGTCAGTGATGGATGTTCCTCACCTGAAGCTCTGATAAACAGCATGTTTGTGTTTCCCGCTCCAGTCCTCCAGGTCGATACGGAGCATATAGTCTCCCTGACTGCTTAGGTCATGGATGTGTTCATTTCCCAGCCAGTATTCGGTGTGCAGGTCTCCAAATCCTTCTTTATACTCCTTCCAACTGCGGTCAAAGTTCACAGAGCCATCTTGCCTACGCTGGATCACAGTCCAGCCGCCACCTGAGACGTACATTATGCATGGGCTCCAATTATGACCATGTTTTTATTAGGAAGGAAATGTAAAAAGAGTATACGTGCAAGCATTCAACAATCAAATCTCTTTTTGTGAGTTTAATGCACATGCCAAGTCATTTGGTTTTCATCTTATGACCACTGCAATTATGCCTATGGTCAGGAAGTGTTTTGTAGGTCATCAAAATGATATTTGCACATCCTATTTTAAGCTTTAGAAGGTTCCTCATGTGCCCCAACGGTGCGATTTCAGCACAAAACCGAAGTCTTATTAGACATAAAAGATAAGTAATTTAGATGTTCATTATCAGAGTTTCTTTTGCTACGGTTTTGAAAGTCTCTCTACATTTTCCTGTAAATTATATAAAAATAACCCAATGATTCATCCACAACAAATTTCCAGCAAAACATTTCAACATAGAGGACAGTAGGCCACAACGATAAGCATCATACTTTCACTGACAACATTTAAAGTGGCCCCACAAAAAAAAAAAAAATTATCTTAAAGGGGTCATATGATGCTGCTAAAAAGAACATTATTTTGTGTATTTGGTGTAATGAAATGTGTTTATGTGGTTTAAAGTTAAAAAAACATTATTTTCCACATACTGTACATTATTGTTTCTCCTCTATGCCCCGCCTTTTTGAAACGCGTCGATTTTTACAAAGCTCATCGGTCTGAAAAAGCGAGGTGTGCTGTGATTGGCCAGCTATCCAATGCGTTGTGATTGGCCGAATGCCTCAAGCGTGAGACGGAAATGTTACGCCCCTCACCATACTGTGATGCCGTGTCCCGGCCGGAGCGACGAGACATAAACATTAAAACCCATTACAAACGAGGCATTTGTTGCATCCAGTGGGGACATAATTACTGATTATAATGACTTATACTGTCTTTTTACGCGTTGTGTTGCATTGCGCCGCGTACAACTTAACCACTGATTTGTAGTCGTGTCCTCTTTTGGAAGACCAAACAAAGTAGTTTCGCTTTCACAACGAAAATCACAGCGGCCTAGAGTGAGGGGAAGCCCCGGCTTAGCGTGCTCTGAGCAGTGGCGTGGCCACAAGGGTGGCAACTGCCACCCTTAAAAGTAGCTTTGCCACCCCAAAGCAGCGTATGGGATCAAAGTGCATTGAGAGTGGAGCAGCATGATTTTAACTGAAGCGGGGATCTTTTGAAAGTCGAAGAATTCTGGTTTTCGCTCGCTCTCAGAGTGCTCCACTACCGCTCAATCACTAGCACAATTAATGCCATAACTATAGCCGTTCTAAACTAGTTCTGCCTACAAGGATTGTACTGCACGCACACATGTACAGACACATAACGGATCACTCACACACAGAAACAAAAAATATTGTCAACACTGCCCTGTGATTTGTCAATAAAAATGCTTAGAAACAGAAAAGTTATACCGAAAATGTATTTGTGTTTTGAAGTAATCAAAATCCACAGCTTCACTATTAGTAGAGAGACGTTGCACAGACAGGCAGGACTAATTTACACGTAATCGCGCTCTCACAAATGCATTCAAATAAATGTAATTTTACTGTGCTTCTATGTATCTGATTTAATAACCGATAAAATAACTGACGAAAATGTAGCCTACTATCATTTCATCCTTCCAAACAAAATTCACACTTCAAAAAGCTGCAATGACAGATTTAACTTTTAATTCTGATAACC